CGCCTTCCTGGTGAAGGGACATCCCAAGTCCCAGGCCTGGCCCCTCCTGGTCCCTCACCTGCTCCCCCTGGGAGCAGGACAGACTTGACTCAGGTACAAGAAAATCGACTGGAATCGAGCATTTTTGGTAACAAACCTCCGGAGGTCGCTCATCTTTTTCCTTGAACCTCGTAGAGCTCGGCGGGGAACCGGGGCTTCTGCTGAACCGGGGCCCAGGTCTGAACCCTGCCGTCGGGGAACGGGTCCTGGCAGAACAGTTGGGAAGGAGCTTGAGATGAGACGGCCCTGGATCAGCCGCCCTCGTGAGAAGAGGAGGGACGTGGGAGGACACCATGTGAAGACAGAGGCGGACAGACCCAGGGGCCACCTGGGGCCACCGTGAGTGGGAGAGGCAGGAAGGACCTTCTCGGGGGTCTCTCTCCAGAGAGAGCGTGGTCCTGCCCACAGCTCCCTTTAAAACGTGCAGTCTCCAGAACAGAGAGAGGGTGAACTTGGGTTGTGGCTACTCGTTACAGCAGCTGCAGGAGACAGACACTGCCTGAACCTCCTACCGCTGAGAAGGCAGGCGGACGTTCAGGTGTGTTCTGGACAGAAGCCACAGTTGGTGGTGGGTGTCACCAACACAGAGATGGGCATGTGGTGGGAGGGAAGAGGCCCCCAGCTGTCAAAATCACCAGCTCATGGGTTGGAGGAGGAAGTGGAGGGACAGGGATGGGGCAGAAGGGCTGGGCGAGTGCCTTGGCCCAGCCAGACTTCGTCCCAACTGCTCACTTTCTCTCTGGCTTTCCTGCCTCCCTGGGGGAACACCGTGTCTTCCTCCCACCTTGGGTGAGACTGTCGACAGGCAGCAGCGGCCGCAGGGCCTATCAGCTCTGGGGCCTGCTGCCTGGCCTGAATCCTGGTGGCCTCCCTCATCACTTGGGTGACCCTGGGCTGTGTGACCCTGGGCTGTGTGACCTCCGTGCCTGAGTTCCCCTCTGTAAGAGAAACTGGCAGCTCAGGGGGCTGTGAGTTAACCTGAGCCCTTTGAGTCATGATGGCACTCGTGTAGGCCTAGATGTTGGGGGACCCCTGGCCTCTTGTGCCCACGGCCTCCCTGGCCAGTGCCGGCTGGTTGCTGCTGGGCTGGGCTGGGGCTGGTGAATGGAGGCGGGTGTCCAAGCTTGGATTGGGGGCGGTTGGGAGCCAGAGTCGGGAGAGGCCTGTGTGACCCAAACTTCCCTGGGGACTTGATTCAAGACCCCAAGGCCAGCTCTGAAGTCCCCATCCTGGACAGGTTGAAGGAAGGCAGGGCAGGGACAGAAGCCCCAGAGGCCGTCCCGGGGGCTGGCAGTGCCTGTAGCTGGAGGCTGCCCCAGAGCAGAGGTCTTCCCAGGACCAGGGGAGAGGAGGTCAGTCTCTGGAAGTCAGAGGCCCCCTGGGAGGTGGCCATCTTCCTGGCCTGTGCCGGGGCAGGCAGAGGTGTGGGGCCATTTGCATGAGAAGTCAAGCATGTGCCTGGCCTCTGTTGGAGGTCCCCAGAAAACGCAAGAAGCGCGTTGTTGGCTGCGTGGTGCGGGAACCGTGTTGTTGGCTGCGTGCTGCGCCAGTGTAGACCAAAACAGCTCAATTTAATTTATCATAGAAAATTTCATTGAATGGAGCCTTTTACAGAAAACCCAATAATAATAAAAAAAAAGACAAAAGGGAACACTGGCTGGAGTCGATCTGTGCAGAGTTGCTGCCTGTGGACACTGCCCTGGCCAGGGCCAGGCTCTCGGCCAGTCCCCCGACCAGCCAGGGGACACTGGGGGGGTGGGGTCTTGCTGAGCCTCAGTTTTCTCCTCTGCAGACAGAGGGGCCACTGGGTGGGGAGGGAGAAAGGGAGACATCAGGGTTGGCCCCAGGGCCTGATGGGGAGGGTAGCTGGTTGTGCTGAGCCGATGGATGGCCCTTGGTGACCTTGGCCAGTTGACTTGTCACCACTGGAACTGGCCCCTGTGATTGTCCCTGTGTTGAGGGTGCTTGGGTTCGGCTAGGCTGGAGGTGGCCAACTGGCTGGGCGTCACCTTCCCTCTGGGGCTCAGCTGGCCACACGGCGGTGTCCTGGGTCTCCCAGACCCTGCTCAGGAGCATCTCAGGGCTTGGAAGTGGGCAGCCCTGCGCCTGGATGTCGGCCCTGCCCCCTCCTCCCCTCCCCCTCCTCCCGTCTGTAAGACAGGGACGTGCACAGCAGGCCTGCCACAGGCTGTCCTAAGATCGGGGACACAGGGCGCAGGGCAAGGGCCCAGCAGTGGCCGTTCCTCAGCGAAGGGCGAGGGTGAAGCCCCCGCGGGGAGCCAGGCGGAGCCGCTGGTGTTGAGACTGGAGGTGTTGGGGCTTTGTGGGGGGGAGGTGAGGAGGGCCTGGGCTGCTCTCCAAGACGTGGACGGTCAGGGTGCAGATCTGAAACTTCAAACTGTGGCAGGGAAAAGCTGCTGGTGGGACCCAAGGGACTGGGGATCAGAGAGCCAGTGACCCAGCTGACAGTGCCCAGGGCTTCAGTGGCCAGCTGGCAGAGTGGGCACGCAGTTTCCCAGCTTGCTGCTGGTCCCCCGGGTGCTGTTGGGCCCCCCAGCACTCCTGCCCTGGGAGTGTGGCCTTGGCAGTGCCGTCCCAGGCTGAGAGTGGACGTGCCCTTGGCCTTGAGCGGGGGTGACATTTTCGAGTTGTCTTTAATTTGCCTTGAAATCAGGCACAGATCCTTTGCAAAACAGGAAGCCGTCTCTCTGGACTGACATGAAATAGCGCTGCCGTCACCTTGGATTAGAGTTAGACGTGTCTCAGAGGAGTGGCCGACTGAAATAGCCCGTGGGTCAGCCCGGCCAGCTGTGTCTGATAAGAGACCCTGGCCTATAAATACCCAGACCCGCTCCCGTGGGTGCCGCGGACAGCAGGCGGGAGGGAGGCTGGCCTGGCCGCCTCTCCTGACCTCGGGTACTCTTCCTGTGCTTCGGGGAGGGGAAAAGGCCCATCTGTAATTCAGATCGCAGGCTGAGAGCGCCACTTCCGGGTGGCAGCCCCGGCTTGACGAGTCCCCTCTGCCCAGCAGCCCAGCTCTGGCGGCCAGGCGTCCAGATATGGGAGCCGTTGGGGGCCGCCCACCCTGCTGAGGCTCCAGGAGGTGGCGGGAGGCGCCTGCGTCCATCTGCTCGCTGCTCCCCTTCTGGACACTGGCCCCCCTTGCTCCACAGGCGTGTGCGAGAGTCCTTGGCCCGGGTTGTGGGCACGTGGGCTCCGCGCCTCCCTGTCGCTCTCCTGGGCTCCCCGCGGACGGCAGCCAGGGGTGGTGGCCAGCGAGGGCCTGGGGGCTGGCTTTCCCGGGTTCAGAGCCGTCCCCTCCTGCCAGCTCCAGTCCCTGGTCCACTGGCTGACTCTCCTGAACCTGTTTGCCATCTGTGCCACCTGGTCCCCGAGTCCTCGAGAGGCCAGTCCCAGGTGTCCCCGGAGTGCTCTGCACCGAGGATCGCAGGGCTCTTGTGTCCTTCTG